ATTGAAAAATCTCGTCAAATAGTTAGAAAATTGAATAATTTGAAGTCTCTCACTTGCACAAAAGCTTGGGGTCAGTTCATAATGATTAAATTGGAAATAGACTGTGTTTTTGAGGCATCTTTATCCCTTGTTTGAGCGTCCAAACTATACTTGAGCATGAATATTTAATGCAGGTATATGTCTACATATAGGATTCAGCAAACCTCAAATTTTGCATATTTGGTCTTGGAAAAGATTTTATATTTTAAAACTTTACTCTTTATTCTGTGAGAGGTATCTAACACAAGGAGAATTATTCAGAATGCATATTAGAATCTTAGTCACTGAGCTAAGTAAAAATATATGTACTTTTAATATGATTATTGCCAATATTGTGCACGTCTTCCATACCTTTGTTCTAAAATGCCCAGAAATGCCCAGCGTGGGCTCTCTATGCATTCTAGAAGAATTACAAAGCAAAAACTCAAGTTTTGTTTGGACCTTGAATTGCTTGAATGTGAATATCTTGTGTGTAAAAAATGGCAGAAATATTTTTGAACAATAGCTTGTCCAGTTGTGCTTTTATTTTTCATTATGTTGGATATGGATCGCTAAGGCTCTGTAAAGAAGGATGTCTCATTGTAATAAGTATAAGCGAAAGGTTAGGGAGGTTTTAGACTAATATCTATTTATATGAAAAATTGGAAACCAAATGAGCAGTTGTCTTTTGGGTTGCTTGTATTGTTTTTATTGGAGGCACTTGGTGTTGAAGTGTGTTTTTAGGAAAATGTTTCTCTTCATTTTTATCCTGCTTGATTCTTTGAAGATTTAAATAGATGAAGAAATAAATCTGAAAATTCTTTTACCCGTCTCAAGGAAATGGTTGAATGCAAGAACATGTTATTTATTTAGATGGTTGTGCTAAATGGAATGGATAGCTTTGATACAACATAAGTGATGGATATATACATTTTGGCTCTGTCTCAAAGTGATGCTTTCTTATGATCTTTCACCTTTTGGAGGAGTACAGAATGCGGAATCTTTTCAAGATATGTAATATTAAGAGGATCAATGAGTAAGAGAAGAAATAAATGAAGAAGTAATTAAGTACACTGTTTCTATTGGACCCAAAGAAACGAAAGAATCGGTTACATTTTTCATAGGATCTCCTCTAGTAGATAGACTCAAAAATCGATCAGGAACATGGAGGAAGCTTAATTTATACTCAACTATTTTGTCAATTTGTTTCCTGAAATAACAATATGCTTTTGGCTCTTTAAGAACAGAATAGAACTTCTGGAGCATGGACTCAATGTGGTTTGGCATTCTTACATGAACTTGATATTGAATGAGCTAAACTATTTTCCAAAAAGCATTGGACTTCCGTTCGGCATTCGACAAGTTTCTTTTGATGTTAAATTTTTTTCAATTCATTGATCCATTATTTGAATTAAGTTGTTGATTCGGTCATTTATTACATTACAATTGAGAATGACAAGCTAATGTGAGATTTTGTTCTATACTTGGGGAATCTGCTAGGTAGAGATTTTATTTCAATTTTTTGGTTATACTTTAGTGTGCTCTTTAGCCTTAACTAGGTCGGTAAGTCAATGAAAAATCCTCACCCGGCCAGTCCTCCCCCCCTCCCTACCCTGCAAACAGTTACAGACATGCGGAAACAATCTGTGGAGAGAG